TGAAATTGTAGCGAATGGCCATTTAGTGACTTGGGGTCACCTGACAGTTGGAATACATACATATGTATGTATACATATTTTCAGTGCTCCATGGTACTCTATATGTATATGAAGAGCAGAAAATAATTTAATTGATTTTGGTTTAAATTTATCCTTCCTCCAAGAATGTTTTTTGCATCGAAAATAAAATACGAAATTTAATAATTTAAAATGACTAAAGACATAGCCAAGAGTTAGATGTGTGTTACCGGTTTACATACCGATCACACACAGCAGTGAAAATCAATTATGTAGATCAATGCTTGATAGATATGACTTTCTTTATATACATACATATGTAACTCCTCTATCTATGTAATATGCTGTGAGTAGGCATATCTTGTTTAGCTCCCAAACAACTAATTTTCTAATGCAGTTATCTGTTAAAGTAAAATTTTCTGTTGTTCATGAAAAGTATGTAGCCTTCAGCATAACCGAAGTTAGCACTGTTCTTACGTGTTTGCGCGAGATTTCCGACCACTTCTTTGAAACTAGGATGGAACGCACTATTCACTTATTTTGAACTATTAAGCTGCAGTTAAAGTGGGTGTTATGAACTATTAAATTTACTTCATTTATGTGTAACAGCGCTGTAATTCTATTCCCCAACAATATTTTTTGTTAAAAAAAAAAAACAACTAAGAAAAAGACTTTTGTGAATAATATTAAAAATGCTTTATTTATTTAAAAAAAAAATCTATTTTTTATGCAAATGTATTTTTAGCATTGATAGATTCTATTCTACATACAAGTTTGCCAGTACAATTTTCAGAATAAATTTTATTTATGTTATGTTATGTTAGAGCAAAATTCCACAGTTGCCGTTCTCTCATCTCTCTTCTCTTTTGCTAACGTCTGCAGTATCAGTGGTGAAGCGCTTAAATTGAGCGAAAGTTAAGCGCGCCATGTGTCGGGTGACAATCACCGCACTCTTAGAGTTTAGCCAAACAAAGCGTGGTGGGCCGCGCGGTTGAGAATAATGCAATTTCCTAACCAAAGAAGCCTTGGCAAAGTCATTCCGCCGATAAGTACATTCGATGCGAACCCAATTCCTGGCCTTTAGTTCCAATTCCCTTGCCACATAGAAGTGTATCCACATTCTGATAAGAGCTCTAACGTGGTTTATTGTTGTTGGTATCGGACGACTCGCAGCGCACTCGACTAAAGAAAGAGGTTCGTTCACTAATTGATATGCCACCAAAAGACGCGATATGCATACCACCTGTTCCCATGAGTGCTACTATAGCACATGTGTATGTATGTATGTAAGTAAAAAGTTTAAAATTTTAAAATATTCGCACTTATGTTTGTACGTGTACGACTGCGTCATATCGGCTTTGAAAACAAACAAAACAACCTGTTAGGCAGCAGCGTGTACAGTTTTCTAGTTTTGAGCCAGTATGTAAATGCGAGAGGCGGGTTCAACTTACGAGCACACTAGTATTGGCATACTGAGAAAAACAAAAATATATATATTTACTTATTTTACTCTATTTTGATTTTGATTTTCTCTTTTTTTTTAAGTCACTCTAGCACTTGAAGTGTATTTAAGTTTAATGCCTTGTTTACAAAAGTTCCCATGAACAAAAACTCTAAAGCTTTGACAGTTTTTTAAAGCTTGCAGTGGGCATTCTAACCGACCTGCCAAATATTTCAACCGAATGGCGAATATGCCAAATTAGTTTCTTGCCTAACAGATTCAAGCATATTTTTTCGCCGATATACAAACCTGTGCATTTCCTCTATAAATTTTACTAGATTTATGTATGTAAATATTCGCCATGCAATCTCCATGGCCCGTATCTTAGGTTTACATAAAACTCATTAATTTAAATTTTAACGTGCCACTCTATCATTTTCCAGCGCTTTATGGCACACAAGCGACAAAATTGCCGACTACTGTTCGTGCAACGTACTAAGGCCATCGTAACTTAAGTGGCCGGCCACTCGAGCAATGGCGGTGATAAATTTTTGTGTCGCTTAAGTAAACATAAGGTACACAGATCTACATACATATGTATGTATGTATGTAAGCATATGTGTATTCCCTAATCACACAACGATGCAACTGAAGAATGCCTCGCGCACTTGTAGTGTCAAATGCACTCTAAATCCTTTCGAATTATTTACACCTATGAGGCAATACTTAATTTCTTTACTAAATGATTACTTTCGTTGAAGATAATTAATATTGGCGTGCAAGGTAATCTCATAGGAAACCCAGATCAGATTCTTGCCAGGTATTTACATGCAAATGCACATAGATAGTTAAATATGTATGTATGTATATTGGAGGATGTGCACTCCTACCCTTGGCTCTATTCTGCCCTTTAAATCCATCACCAGACCTGGTCTGGCCCCAGGCAAACCCAACAGTTTCAAATGTGATGCCTCTTTCTATCGACCGCCTCGCATTCTCGAAGAAGGTGCCATAGGGTTTTTGTCGCTGCATCGTAGTAGTAATGACAGGATTCACCAGAGGAAATCTCTTAGTTTTGCAACTTTTTGTCTTCCTTGATATTAAGTGGTGGTATAAATAGCTAGGAAGGGCTCTGGTCTTATTAGCCGGGTAGTTGCTGCCTTCGTTGCCACTCTGTCCGATTCCTCCGTAACTTATCTGCATTTATGATCGGGTGCCCATATCAGCCGCATTGTGTGGTGTGTCCTAAAGTTTTCAATGCCTCTACATAATAAATTTTCACTTGAAATGGCAATTATCAGGTCTCTCCTGTTGCCTGCTCCTTCCCTCGTGAAGTTGGGGACGGTTCTCTTTGCATTCTGCTCTATGACTTCGTTCAGGTGCGTCAGGTCGGGAATGACCTACAAGGCTACGGTGGTTCAAGTGCGCATGGCAGCCATTGTACAGGAGCACAGCAGACTCTGAAGTGATCCTCTCAATGCTTTGAAGACGGTTGGTTCGGACCATGCCACCGTTCAGTGTGTGTACTATTGGCCTGCCTTGGTTTACATCCACTGCAGGAAATAGGGGTAGTACACTCCTGATTTTGTATTCTGCACATGTTGGAGTCAGCGCGAGCGTTATAGGCCGAAGGCCTGGGAGATATCTTAGTCTGTAAGAAGGGATGATGGCATCCTCCCTGTGGGCCGCTTTGGCTGTATGATTTTATTTGCTACTACATACAGTTTCTGCCAATCTGGTTGAAAGGACCTCGATGACGAACTAGAGAAGTTCCCCTCTAATTTTTGCATCTAACTTCAGTTAGAACCTTGACCCTGAAATACCGTATTTTCTTCGATGAAACACGTGGTATTATGCATTAAAATATAACAGGCAATGGCATAGTTGGGAACGTACTCCTAAATCTCCAATTAAAACTTTCTTCTCTTTTGCTATTATGAGGCTTTTTTTTAAATCAGAAAAAATTGGCCAAACACCCAATAAACGATGATAATATCCTTTTGTACACAGCAATCCTTTTTCGGTGTTTCTTTTTACTACCATTTTTATCGCTCAGTAAATCATCCCGTTTTATTTTATCTATTTCATTTTAATTAAAACTTTTTGTGGCATTCTAGGTGTCACGAACTTTGCAAATTTTATTTCCATTCCAACTACTTTAGTTTTTAACGCAGATTTTATTTTTCATTTTACCACCCCCTCCCTTCTCAATGGAAAGGCGCACAAAGTAGTTTCCCATCGCTCCACCAACAATTAAAATAATTAGTGGCATTTTAATGAGTCGCATTACCGAGTAAGTGCCGCATACGCCCTTTTTAAATTAAATTAATTCTCAGCTTAGGTAAACATTCGGTGACCAGCTTTGCATTCTAATTGCTCGCTTTCGTTTGCTTCCAGGCACCTTTCTAAATATTTAGTTGTAGCAGTAAGGGCGATTGGCAAGAAAACAAAAGTGTAACGCAATAAATTTTTTAAATGAAAATCGTGTGCAATAAATTCATCAGCTAATTTGTATGCCGCATTAAATGAATAAAAATATCTTTGTGTAATAAATAGTTTATTTGCATTTATTGCTAAGATTGCTTACCATCCCCCCTTAGCAATCAAACTATTTTGTGTTATAAAATTTAATGAATATGCATTGGGATTATAGAGGAGTATTGTTTATAGATGATAAATGCGGCACAAGATTTTACTAAAATGACAGCTTACAAAAGTGAGTGCATTTCAGGAATTCTGGGCGGCATAAATTATTCTAATTAGAAAAGTGGTGAGTTTCAGATTTGTGCTTTGCATTTTTGATTTCTCATATGATATGTGGGATTGTAGTAGTCACAAAAAATGTAATAAGTCCTAAAAAAAGCTTTTTTAAACTTTTCATCAACATTGTTGACTTTGATTCGTTTGGCGAAAACTTATGGCGTTTTCTTTTCTACAAAAAATGTTGCCCTCTTATTGCCGTTTCCTTAGTATTTGTGCCTGCTAGAAAAGAAAAAGCCATTAAATTAAGGTGGAAACTATTTTTCCCCTTCTGCTAGTTTTCATAATGAATTAAAAAAAAAAATATATTATTTATTGTTGGTAAATGTTTTTTTTTAATATCCAGAAAGTATAAAACTAAAACCAAAACTAATTTTAGAGTTAATATTGCAACAAAAAATTAATTCCTTATATTATAAGATTTTCAATTTATGGCATGTCGACTGTACTTGCCTTCGCATAAAGCACGTGCAACTTGTACAGTAAAAAAAAAAAAACGAACTAGCGAAACTCGAAAATTTTCTCATGACTTCACTCTTCTTCTTACCATTGCATTGTACGTAAAATTGCAAATTACCCACTAAGTCAAGGTTTAGCTAGTTAATGTCTTGTGCACACGCTTGAATGAATCACACCGCTAAAAAGTAAAAGTAATATCAACTCGCATATAATTTTTTTTTTTTTTACTTGATTAACACTTTTAGCTCTATGAAGTTTACTTAATTTCCTTAAATAATATGTATGTGCTACTAAAAAACGCTTTTACTTTTTCGCATTACAGTCGAGGCTTTGCTGAAATGTTGGCGCTGTTCAACCGATGTCTCCAATGGTGCCTTCTGCGATGATCCCTTCGATCCAGAATTTATTTCCGATCAACAACGCTACTGGAGCTACGTGAATTGTTCATATTCGGCGGGTTATAAGTCGGTCAATGCACGGCCCGTTTGCAAGAAGCTGGTACAAGAAGGTGAGTATGTCGAAAAATATTAAAGAATATTTGAATCAATCCAACAACTGCCCGTAATCGAATGTACATATGTATGTAGTTGCCTCCACATTTTAGAAACTCGGTACCAGTAATAATCATAAATATTTGCTGTTTACAAACACTCGAACAAAAGGCGCATGCGTACGTGACGGGCATTCGAAAGTGGTGGCATTCGCGGTAGTTTTTGATTATCGTTTTTTTTTTTTGGACTGACTTTATTACAATCATATTTTGGTTTTGTAAAATATTTAGGTTTAATTTATGAAAGCATATTTTATTGACAACCAAAATTTATAGCCAAGTGACACACTTAAGTACCTGGAAAGAAAGTATTCGGTAAATCTATTTGATTTTACATATCTCGATGGATATTTATTTAAGTATATCTACCGAAACCGTGCGACAAATATGATAACACTGCGTTTTTAGTTTTTCTCTCTGATGTCAGGATTTTTTTAAAAGGACTTTGAAATTTTAAAAATATTATTACTTCAAAAAATTACTTGAAATAAAATTCAAGAAAACCTTTGCAGAATTAAATCCGATTTCATTTTTTTTGTACATAAGGAGAATTAAGTATTGAAAATTTACTTTTATGATTTGATCCTTGAATATTCTTGAATTTTACAATAAATACACTCGACCACGTCCTCGAATTTTCAATACCTATTCGTCCTTGCGAAACAAAAAGCTTTAATTTGTTTAAATTCCAAAGAATTTTCTGGTTCGCGAAAATCCTCCGGCTGAGCCCTCCACGTGGGCGCCGACTGGTAATGGTCACTACATTTTAAATTATGTACGTTGTCAGAATGGTGTCCAGCAAAAATCAGAAATCAGTGCTTTGTGCTCAAGCTCCTCAATAACTTAGTTATATTGAAATGGTTTTTGATCTTGAAAAAAGCTCTGAGTTTGAAGAAAGGTGTTAGACGACCCGTGCTGATGTTCACAGGCGCTGCGGATTCAGAATAATAACTAGCCCAGTGTCGAACAGAGTGCTCCGGATACCTGGCTGCCTCCGGTTCTATATGGCCTTTGTTGCGCACACGGGCAGAATTTTCTCTTCCATTTGGTGTCCATATTGTTATTTTACATTGTACTGAATTTTTTTAAATAATTTTTAGTATTAGTCATATTATTGAAACTACAAAGTCCAACTAAAAACGCAGTTTTACTTTATGTGGCCCACAGTTTGGTTGCTTTTTTTGTTTCGAATTTTTTTTTGTTTTTGTCTTACGGTGTTATATCAGGTTAGGTTGATATCTCCCCATCTGACAAGGTAGGGCCGATCCCTCCTGGGCGACCAGAACTTCTGTCTGATATAGACTACATTGATCGGGCAGTTAAATAGTCTCAAATCTAGGTTCAGGTGAGAAAATCCCTTCTCCGACTTTCCCTTATAGTCTTTTGGCAACTTTGTAAAAGTTGATAGCATTAAGTGAGTGGGCGTATACGACAGTCAAATAGTTGACGCCTTGCCTATTATAGCAGAATGGCCTATGGTTCGTTCACTCGATCCATTAGCCGGCTCCTTTAGGTCTTAGCCCGCGTCAACGGCCACCTCCAGAGAAATGTGCGAAACCGCATTTACGGCTTCAGTAGTAGTAGTAGGTTGTCAATGGGGCCCCGCTTATTCAAACTTCTGCTCTTTTTTTGTATCTTTTGTAGGCCACTTTATGACAAAGTGGTTGGACGCACCTCAACTTTGGTATTTCAAAATTCGCCAACGACTATATCAAATACCGAACTTTTACAAATTGCAAGTTTAACAGCCAAATTAGTAGCAATTAGTCTCTGTTTGGTCCGCAGCAACTGTGTCCAAATGAAGATACTCGTAGTTGCGGAAAAGTGGAACTCGAAAATGCCAAAGCAACTCGTTCGAGTGCGCGTACGGCGTACATATGTACATATGTATGTACGTGGGCAACACCAAATATATCAAGGCCTAGTTTGTATAGCTTAGCTACAAATTGATTTGGCATGAAAGCGGCGGTGATCTACAAAAGCAAAAATTAAATTTGACATATTTATGAGTGTACGTTGCTTGTTCGCAGTCCGCTATTTTCCTATTTCCACTTATCCGCACATTGTTGTCGAAACGCCAAAGAAATTAAAATTTATTTAGCTGCATAACAATTGTAGAGAAAACCAACCAACCGCATTGGTTAGGTGCAATTGGAGTGGGTGACGCTGACACGAGCACATACACCCTCACAGCCGCACAAACAAACGAACAAATATTTGAAATGTAGGTAGTCAATTTTGTTGCGCCTGATTATCACCTCTTTGCCATAATGTGCACCCTCTCTCTCTCTCGCCGCCTCAGCACCTCAAGTGCTCCAGTTGAAATGCTTTTGGAAGCTATCGCTTTTCGGATTTTCGAAAATTCATGCGATGCCTTGCCAAAGGGTCGCCCGCCGACACTCGGCTCACAAATCCAGTCGGCTGCTTACATGTGGCGCTAATTTGTTGCAATTTATTGCACCATTTCGCCCGCCAGCAACGCCGTCGGCAGCCCACGGCGGGCAACAAATTCGCTTTATCATCGCCGAATCGCAAGAGTCGTGACACCGTCGCCAACGCCGCCAACGCCGCCAACGCGTTCGCTGTTGATTTGTAGAAGTATTTGTAAAAACAGAAAATGTGTTTGCATGTCTGTCTGTATGTATGTATGTATATTTGAATGCATTTATGCACTGTACAAATGTAGTAGACAGTTGTATGGCTGTGCGTTGAAATTCGCATGCATCGCTCGCTGTTTCTGTTGCTGTTGCTGACCTGTTGCTGTCCGCGTGTAATGCATTTTTTTGATTGTTTGGTATTTTTGCTATTTTTTATTTACACTTATCTTACTTTTGTGTATATGTTTACCGTCGCTTTTTTATTGCGGCAATTTCCATTTTATCGCACATGCAACAAATTTTAGTTTACATCTTCATTGCATTCTAAGGCCTTTAGTGAAAGCTGTCAAGCTCAAGTGAATTTGCAAGACTCTTGATTATAAAATGCTTTTATGTAACGAATGGTTCATCAAGTGTAAAAATTCTATTAGTTGAGAAATTTTATAATCGTAAATATTTAAAAGGAACTAGTTAGTAGAAAGTAACGAAGAGAAGGACTTGGGTTCACTTGGCATTTCCAATTGGCGTCAGTTGGCACTTGTTAATCGACTAGTCGACTTAATCGATTTGCAAAAGTGGTTTAAAAAATAATCGACCACCTAATCCACTTATCGTCTTCTTTCGACTTTTTCAACTAACCGCAGCAAACAACTAGCTAACCATTCATTTTCGAATTTTCAAATAAAAATTTCATTAGAGTACCTCCCTATCAGATAATTTAGTAGCTTTTTAAGATAAAAACCAAAGGCAAAATTTGCTTGATATTCGGCCCTATTATGGTCGTCGATGTCGATTTTTGCATCAATCCTCGTAAGTCCAACTCCAGCTACAATAACCACAGTATTCTTGAGCGGAACAACTTTCCTCAAAAATTCGGAGCTGGAGTTGGACTTACGAGGGCGATTTTTTGATTAAAAAATTACATCGACGTCGACGTCGACAACCATAATAGGGCCGATTATTTTAGCTGTAAATAACGGGTAATTTTGGCCTTTACCTAAAAATCACGAAAGTCCCAAAAAAGTATTACGGATGTCATAATCTATATTCCAGGCTACTTATAAGCGGGCAACTACTTAATATCCTTAGGTCCAGAGGTTTCCTCCGCTAGTCAATAAAACTTGCATTTCGTCTCCTCAGAGAGTCCGAATTTATAAAGACATAAGGGTTGTCCGCAGTATCCTGTTAAGTATCCAGGCCGAGTTCTTAGCCTCTCGCGGTGTTCTAAGGCTCTTAGATTGTCTTTTACCCTTTGTCATATGCAAGTGGGAGGCAATCTTATAGTCCTCTCAATATCTTAGAAACTCTGTGGTACATCGCTTAGACTAATCGCTGAAGACTAATTGCCAAACAGGACCCGTTTAGCTGCACATTTTGCACATTATCAGCTCTTTATTTGCCATAAGAGCCTTCATGACCTATAATCCGCCTACCTTGTGGTAATGTGTTTATGTGTTTCAATAGTCGTTCTACAAAGTATAGACTCCAATTCTGAAAATTTCCGCCTGAAATAAGGTTGGGCATGTGCCCACTGTTAAACTTATCTGAAACTTAAGACCAAATACGCCAGCACGGGTATTCCCATCATTAAGTTTGGATCGGTCAGATGACTCCAGAAGTCTCCTGTGAGGGCCACACATACCATGTCACGTAGCTTATCTACTTGAATTTCCGTCATGAACCTTGTGGCTTTAACGCCGTACTTAATGACCAGTATATCAATGTCATGATAAGTGACAAGCATATTCCAGTCATACAAATATTTTTTATGGTATACAAAATTCGATGAAAATTACGAGAAAAGTAATACTCTTCAATATGCGCTGACATAAAATGTCCTAGGCTAATCGTGCCTAAAACCAACAAACGACTATGGGCTTGGTCAGTTGTCGATTTAGTCGCATCGGCTTCAAAAATCAGGCCAAGAGAGGTTATAATTCATTCATTACGCCTCCAATGAGGCATCTTCACACCTATTACCAGAAGTGGTAATAAATAACACGTATCTTAAAGGCGTTGTCAATACTCCGATTTACGGATATCAAGAATCCAAGAGGTTCTTGGCCAAGAGGTTTTTGGCTTGCATTTCATACAATGTACGTCTATTGTTCTTACTAGTCTCATAACTGGTTGCTCTTCTATAATTGTAGATACATACATACATCGCAAAAATCAAGTTTGATAATTTTGGCTACTGTCGTTCAGTATACCTTAAAGTCGAATACATGTACATTAGGGTGGTCCTCAAAGGTAGGAAGTAAATGTTTACATCTAATTTCCTAATCCCCAACCCCTACCTCGATACTACTATAGTCGCAGATATCACATATAAATTTTGGCCTCGATTGTAGACGATTAAGG